GCCTTCTCCGTCCGGCGTGTCTCACCCGGCCTCCCCAGTATCCTCCGCAGCGGCACCTCCTCCTGCTCCGCCTTCCCCGCGCGTCGAGCCCGGCTCACCAGTCTCCTATCAGAGGCGCCCAGTCCCTCCGGTCCCACCGCAGCCGCCTTCGTCTCCGGTCTCTAGTCGCACTCGTTCCAAGGGACCGGCTCCGCCTCTCGCCTGGGGACCAGCCGCCTTCTCCATCCGGTGTTCGGTCACCCCGCCTCCTCTTGCTGGGGGTGATGTCTCCTCCATTCGTATTCTCCCCCGTCCACTTCTGGAGGACAGGCATGAGGAGCTGTTTGACCTTCACGCGGTCTGCCAATTTCTCTCTCACATCTTCCCGGACATTACTGACTGCCCTTCCCTCAACTTCACCGAGAACCCGACCATTCCGACTCCTCGCACAAAAGAGGAAGCTCTCTGGGGGCCTTATAAGAAGGAGTGGAAGGCAGCAATGGATGTGGAGAACGAGACGTTCATTCGCAACAACAGCTTTGACGATGTTGTTCCCCCTTCCGGTGTCAACATCGTCGGCGGAAATTGGATCTTCCGAGTCAAACAACTCCCAGGCGAAGCTCCACTGTTCAAGGCACGATACGTGGCGAAGGGTTTCACCCAGAAGGAGTATCTCGACTTCTTTCACCCAGTCTGCTCTCAGTTCCGCCCTTCTCATGAAGGATCTTGGTGACCTCAAAAACTACCTGGGGATGGAGATCACTCATGACCGCCAGGCTTGCACGATCACCCTCTCTCAGGAGTCCTACATCGACAACCTTCTCAAGCGGTTCGACATGGACTCCAGTAACTCTGTCTCCACTCCACTCCCACTACAGCATCAAGCTCACAGCCCCTCCAGTTCCTTCTCCTGACACCTGCAAGGACCCGTACCCTGAGCTAGTCGGTTCAATCATGTATGCCATGATGTGCACTCGACCAGACTTGGCTTACCCGGTTATAGTGTCCTCTCTCGGTACGTCTCCCCCGGACGCTACACTGCCTCGCATTGGTCTGCAGCCAAGAGGGTCCTCCGCTATCTACAAGCCACCAAGTCTCACATCCTCACTCTTGGTGGTACCTCTCCAGTCAAGCTCGAGGGATACACAGACTCCTCATGGGCCGATGACCAGACTGACAGACGCTCCTCCCAAGGGTACTGCTTCACCCTTGGTAGCGGAGTCATCAGCTGGCGCTCCACTCGGTCCTCTGCAGTCTCCCTGTCATCCTGCGAGGCCGAGCTCTACGCGGGCACAATGGCTGCTCAAGAGGCACGCTGGCTCTCCTTTCTCCTCGCTGAGTTAGGCTACCCCCAGCAGTCGCCCACCCTGTGGTGTGACAACCAGAGTGCCATTCACCTCACCAAGGATCCTGTGTTCCACTCTCGCACCAAGCACATCGAAATTCGTCATTTCTTCATCCGAGATCTTGTTCAGAGTGACCAGCTGACGGTACGGTACATCGCCTCAGATTGCAACCTCGCCGACCTCTTTACCAAGGCTCTCGGCAAGGCTGACCACCATCGCCTTCTCCGTTCTGTGGGGCTATGTGCTCCTTGACCGGGTTTGCAGTCTATGGGGGTGTGTTAGAAATAGACTGCAAATACCACTTTTGTATTTGTACTTTTATATCCTAGTTTAGGTTCTGAATGTTCTAGTGGGTTGGGGTGTACTCACAAATCCCAACCTCACCCAATTGTGATCCCCATAATCTCCAATTACCCAATGGGGATTCCCTCCAATTCCCCCTTCATCCATTCTCTCTCACCTTGCCTTGTACTTATAGAGCCTTGGGCTCCTTACCTAATCAATAATTTCAACTCTATTTCTTACATTAAGTACCAACCGTTACGTGTACCACTCCATAGTTATTCCAAGGCCTAAAGTTAAATAACAAAGTTAATGGTAAGTGATATGGTTAATGTACCAAGTCTATGGTGAGTAGAAAGCCTAACGGTTAGTACTACGACTATGGTAATTATACCACAACATAGGTAAGTACCAAGCTTCATATCAAGTACAGACTCTATTGTTAATACAGAACGTTATGTTATGTACCACACTTCCAAGCCTATATCAAGTGGGTATATAGTAAAAACTAAGCCCACTGGTCCCTACTGGTTTTGGTAGATATGAAGCTTAAAATTGACTTCCATGCCTTACATTAAGTACTGGGTCTTATTAGCATACCCCTACTATGCACGGAGCTCAAGATTAAGTACCACATCAAGCTTCGACTCTATAGCAAGTACCAAGCATAAAGTGTACTGAGTTAAACTTTAAGTACCGAGTCTCTCGTAAAAATCAAGCATGAATATTCGTAGCGAGTCCATGGTATGTACCAAGCCCGAGGTTTAGTTGCCAAGTCTTACATTAAGCACTGTCTATGATAACTACCATCCCTAACATCGAGTACCATGTCTGTGGAAAGTATCAAGCCTGGCATTTAGTACCAAGACTATGGTAAGTACCATGTCTAACGTAAGAACAAGGTTATGGAAAGTTCTAAGCCTTATGTTTACTGGATCTGTTGTAGCTTACAAGCCTTTTGTTTTATTATAGAGTCTATGGAAAATACCAATCCTAACATAAAGTTGGGCCTATTGTCATGGACAAGATTTATGGTAAGTACCGATCCTAGGATCATTCACCGAATATATTGCAAGTGCCTAGTTTTGACTCTGTAGTAAGTAACAGGTGTTACATTAAGTGGTGAATCGAAGGTAAGTCTCAAGTAGCAAGCCTAACATAAAGAACCAGGTCTATGGTATATGTCAAGCGTAACAAGTATCGAATTGTTTATACGTAGTAAGCCAAACATTATGTACCGACTTTACGGTAAGTACCAAGCCTCATGTGAAGTACCGAGTCTGTGGTAAGTACCAGACGGTAGTGAGTAAGCCAAGCCAAATGTGTACCAAATCAGTAGTGAGTAAGCCAAGCCAAATGTGTACCAAATCAGTAGTGAGTACCAAGCCAGACGGTAGATACCGATTTTAGTAAGTACCAAGCTCAAAAGATAAAGCTCCGTGTTTAACGTTAAGTACCAGAGACATGACAAGATCCAAGCTGAACAACAATTTCCATCTCTTAGTATGACAACTATCAATCCTAACATTAAGTACCAAGTCTATGGCAAATAACGATGCCTAATGTTAGACAGAAGGTTATGGTAAGTGTCAAGCCCTATGGTTAGTGCTGGGTCTGTGGTAGGTATTAAGGAAAAATCTAGCCTGCGGTAAAAACGAAGCCTAAATTTTAGCATCGAGTCTCCAAGCAAAACTTCAAGTACAGGCTTTGGGAAATGTCAATCCTGATATCTAGTACCGAGTCTAACATGACACATGAGATTACGGATAGTACCAAGCGTAGTATAATTCATCCAGTTTATGGTAGGCACCAAGCCAGACATAAAGTTATGTGTCTAGGATAAGATCCAAGGTTAACATTAATTACCATCTCATTGTATGTCTGCATCTTAACACGATGGACTGAGCCTACAGTCAATACCAAGCCTTACGTCAAAGCCCCCATCTCATGATTCCTAGAGTTTTACACTCGGTTTTACACTCGGTTGGGAGGCGAGGTGTTAAAAAATGGAAAAAAAAAAAAAAAAAAAAACAGATAGCAAGGCCTTTTGTTTCAACAAATTTTCCAAACGAAAAAAAAAACAAAAAACAGATGGCAAGGTTTGGGAAATGTTGTCTCATGATAGGTTTTGCACATCGAACTTACAACTTTTACCATCGGACGGTGGGAAACCCAGCTTTCCTGCACAACCACATTCCACTTCGTTTCCAGCTGTCAATTCAAATTCCAGTCACTGAACCGTCAAATCAAAAACCTGTAGATGATCTAACGGCCCAGCGACCCCATTCCTCCGTGAACTTGCTCATGCCCAGCATAGGTTGCGATCATGCCAGCCCCTTGGTGAAGCCAGAAGACGGGGGAGACTGGATGTTGAGAAGAAAAGGAGGAGCACGTCTAGCTGTCCATAGAGATCCTACCGGCACCACAGTTGGAAGGTCTTCGAAGGGTCGGTGAGGTTAATCTGGTGCATGAGCTTGTGGCGCCATGGCTGCAGCATGGTTTCATTGGAGGGCGGAACGACGTCCGACACTCGCAAGGGGCCGCCTTGAGGCACGTCGCCCAGCCCCGTACAGCAGGCGCAGGCCAGACACCCCCCCCACCTTTCTTCTCACTGTCCGGGGCATTTCCTAGCCTCTCCCGTCAACTTCGCCAGCGTAACTGGGTACCAAGCATTTTACATTTGGTCAGGTCCTTGAGCTATGAGACTGGGGTTTTAAGGACCAACTGTATCGCAAGTACCAAGCCTAACATTAACTACCAAATCTATGGTAGGCACCAAGACTAACATCAAGTATCAAGCTTAAAATGTAAAAGAAAAGAATCTCTGGCATGTTCGAAGCCTAACGTACAGTATCCAGTCTATAGTGGTAAGATGCTGCCACGTAAGATGCCACCAGATGAGATTCCGTCATCTGAGATGCCGCCAGGTGAGGTTCCACCTGGTGAGAATCCCTTCTGGTGAGATGCCGCGTCGTGAGATGCGGCCAGGTGAGATGCGGCCTGGTGAGATGCGGCCTGGTGAGATGCGGCCGGGTGAGATGCCGCCCGGTGAGATGCGGGAGAAGTTGTGTAGCAGACTGAAATGTGTCTTCTTATGTGTAGCAGGATTTGTTTTATTGTTTCAATAGAGACAACTGAGCAGACCGAGGTGGAGAGTTTCTAGGAGGAGATCTGACTGCGTGGCTCAAGAAACAAGGCATTGAGCATCAGCTAACGACGTCCTATACCCCTCAGTCAAATGGCGTTGCTGAGAGGGCTAATAGGACCATCCTGGAAACTGCGCGAGCGCTGCTGATCGAATCAGGGCTGGGGAACTCCATGTGGCCTCATGCGGTGAGGCATGCTACAGTGGCAAGGAACCGCGTACTCACAAAGGTGGCTGATGATATGTGGGTGCCGCTGGAGAGGTGGCTTGGAAAGAAGCCTCCAGTGGACATGCTTCGAGTGTTCGGATGCATGGCAGTGGCGCATGTCCCTAAACCGTACAGGACAAAGCTTGGAGCATCTGCACTTTGGTGTGTGCACCTTGGGCTCGCGGCAGAGAGCAAGGGGTGGCTACTCTGGGAGCCCTCAAAGAATGTGCTGTTTGACAGTCGGGATGTCAAATTTGTGGAGAACATCATGTATGGCAAGTGGGAGAAGCAGCCGGAGGCAAGGGTCACCCAGCAGCTGGAAGAGATCACTATGCACTTCGATCTGTCCGAACCTGCGGACAGCGAAGTCACTGCGCCAACGGCAAGCCGGTACTGATGAAGGAAGCAATGAGGATATTGCAGCTGATGCTGAAGTCAATGATCCGGAGCAGCAGCAGCAAGAGGCTTCCAAAACACCAAGTCTGCCAAAGCGAAGGAAACAGATTGGTGGGGGACAAAGGATTGGGTGAAGGTGAAAGAATGGGTAAATCCAACCATCTACCCTGCACGTACCAGCATGGCAACGAGAAAGCTGTTGAGCTCCACAAGTGGAGGAGCCACAACTGAGCAGCAGGAACAGGCTCAAGGCGAAGATGCAGTGCTGTTCTTGGGTGATGACCAAGAGTCAGATGACGAGGAGCCTGCATACTGCTTTTACGCACCAATACAACCTCCGAGCATGGATCATGCGCTAGCCGGGCCTCAACGGGGGGAAGTGGCTCGTTTCAAGAGATGCAGAGTACAACAGCCAGATGGAGAATCACACATGGGACCTGGTGTACTTGCCAAATGGGGAAGAAGGCAATACAGTGCAAGTGGCTGGCAAAAAATCAAGACGGATGAGAAAGGAGAGCCATCAGTTTACAAGAGCAGGCTGGTGGCAAAGGGGTTTCAGCAGAAAGAGAAGGAAGATTACAAAGAAGTGTTTGCCCCAACTGCTAAGTCTCCAACGCTACGTGTGCTGCTGGCGGTAGCTGCTGTGCGCAAATGGAAGGTGAAGCAGATGGACATCGTAACCGCTTTTCTGTACGGCATTGTGGAGAGGAGGTGTACATGGTTCAACCACCTGGCTATGAGGATGGAACCGGTCGTGTCTGCAAACTTAACAAGGCCATCTATGGCTTGAAGCAGGCCCCGAGATGCTGGTACAACAGGCTGGCCAGTGCACTGGAAGGGATTGGATTCCGTGCGAGTGCATGCGACGAGAGCCTGTTCCTGATGGGAGAGGGGGAGTCACTTGTGCTTCTGCTGGTGTACGTGGATGACATCCTGCTCTTCAGCAGCAGTGACAAGGAGATCGATGGGGTGCAGCGGAAGCTCACAGAGCAGTTCAAGTGCAAGTCACTTGGACAGGCAAGGTACTACCTGGGAATGCATATTGAGCGGGATACTGAACGTGGCTGGCTCAAACTGCATCAGGGACAGTACATCAACACCTTGGCTGAGAAGTACTCTCTGCAGGAAGAACGGGAAGTGGTCACACCTTTGCCTTCCGAGTTCAAACTCATAAAGGCAGCTGAAGGAGAAGGAGTTGAGAGTGAAGACCAGAGGCAATTCCAATCCATGGTCGGGAGCCTACTCTACGCTGCTGTGCATACTCGGCCTGACATCAGCTTTGCTGTGGGACAGCTGGCTCGAGTAGTGCAAAATCCAACAGAAGAGCAGTGTGGTGCAGCGGAGAGAGTGGTGCGCTACCTCAAGTCATACCCTACAGTGGGAGTACAGTATTCAGCCTCTGCTCAACTCAGTCAAAAAGGAATTGAAGTCGTCAAAGAGAAGGGGGAGCAGCTCGGAGAAGGAAAGGTGTTCCTTTCCTGTTTTGCTGATGCCACGTGGGCTTCTGAGCATGAGGATTCATCATCAGTTGGTGGATACATCTGCATGGTGGGAGGTGGGCCTGTAAGTTGGAGGTCCAAGAAGCAGTCTGAGACGGCA